TGTAAAATGGAGATCATGGTACCTGTGTTATCGGGTTGGTGTGAGCATTGAACAAGTCCTTAGAAATTGTGAAAGTGAGAAAGTAAAAGTGTTAGTTGCTTGACCGACTCTTTGCTACCCCACAGACTGTAGCCCACCAGGCTCCACTATCCACGGATATCTCCAGGCAAGGATACTGGAGTGGATTGCCATGCCCTTCTCCATTAGTAAATGGAAACCCCTGTTAGTCGCTTTAGTATGTATATTATCATCTCACAGATACTGTGGATTGTGTAATCAGTCATTATTTCCTCTTGGTGCTGGCTACACCAAAGCTCAGAGTGAAGTATGTGGCCAGTGAATGAGCTTAATGACTTTTTAAAAAATTATTTGGTGATAATGGTGGAGTCCTCTCCATAATCCTGATATCATCTTGTTCTTACTTTTTTTTTCCTCTACTTTTCTTGCTTTTCAATTTTCACTTTTCTTTAATTTTATTAATTTAATTGGCATGTTATCGTGTTGCACTGCCTGTCGTGGAACAAGCCGCACAGTCATCATCCTTGTTGTCTGTTACCCGGATATTGACACCCACTGACATTTCCTTTCACATAATAACACCTTATTCCTGCACAGGTTGTGTATTGTATGCAGATTTGCTAAGTAAAAGCCTCTCTCAAGGTATGATGGAGGCATGTGTGTGTGTGTGTGTGTGTGTGTGTATTGATGTAAGAGAGAGAACAAGAGAGAAGCAGATCACCACCTATCTGGCTTGCATCACCTTTCCTCCATCACATGTTTGACCTTGGGTTTAGTCCTGATTCCCCTCCTCAAAAGAGAAATAATTTACCTTGACTGATGGATGAATATGGTCCAGCCGTGGGCTGTTGGGTGTTGGTCCAATGCCCAGAGGTCTAGAGAAAACGTGGCAATTTGTTGCTGACGGTATTCCTCTACATGATGGTAAGCTGTCTGTGTTATCCTGAAACTGCAGGTGACTTATTTTTGGAAAATCTTCCTCTCATGATGGTTCTGGGACTTTGCTTCCTTGTCACATTCTTCACTGGCCCCAAGGCACTCACTTGACAAGCCCAGCCAGCTCTGTTCTTTGCTCTTGTGGGGCCATGGAGGAGCCCACACTCATTTCCCTAAAGAGTACATCTTACAATCTCAATTATTTATTCCAGCCACTTGCAGTGCAGTGAACTCCTGAGAGTCCTTGTAGAAGGTACAGATAGATGGTAAGGAAGATTTGTTGTTCAGTTATTCAGTTGTGTCTGACTCTCTGCGACCCCATGGACTGCAGCACTCCAGGCTTCCCTGTCCCTCTTTATCTCCCAGAGTTTGCTCAAACTCATGTTCATTGAGTTGCTGATGCCATCCAACCATCTCATCCTTTGTCACCCTCTTCTCCTGCCTTCAATCTTTCCTAGCATCAGGGCCTTTTCCAGTGAGTTGACTCTGCATCAGGTGGCCAAAGTATTGGAGCTTCAGCTCTAGCGTCAGTCCTTCCAGTGAATATTCAAAGTTGTTTTAAGACCTTAGCTTAAATCTTAGTAAGATTATTAGTAATAGCTTTTACTAATTAGTAATATAGTAATAATAATTAGTAGTAGTAATAGTAGCTGATACTGGTGGACTTGGCCAACTCTGTTAGACCAGCCACACTTGCTGCTGAACTGACTTAGAAACACCGAGTGAGGTACCTGTTATATTCATGTTGTTGGTAAAGACATTGGAGTTCAGAGAGGCTAAATGATTTGTCTACAAGCACAGAGTCAATGGGACAAGAATAAGGAAGTGCCAGGTGTCTGACCCTGGAACCTGTTCACTTCATGTCTACCCAGAGTTGCCTTGAAATTGAAAAGATTCACTGTGCTTTCTTGCCTTGGTTATATGCCATTGCTGTTGACCCGACTCTTGCCTTATTTCATCTCAGTGGACCACCTTTGCTGTTTTAGGGTTCTGAGTCTGTTGGATGAAGAGCAGTGATGGGTCCCTAGGTGTTCAGGGAGACATAGGTTGCGGCAACAGGAAATCCAGTCTGTGCCATTTTCTGGTGGTTCCATAATCCTGTGTGGATTCTTTGTTTTCTTTCAAGTGGTAAAAGCAGCTTTATGTAATTGGGAAATTATATCCTTGTACCAGCATTGTATTAGTCGTTGGGGTTTGCTTCAGCCATACCAACTCTCACCATTGTATTTGTTTATATCTACAGTGCCAAGAATTGGTTCCTAAACCAGATCTTTAACCAGCCTTCAGTTGTTTTGCTGATGCCCCAAGCTATTTCTCGCTGCTTAAGATTGCACGGCAGGACTTTCATCAAAGAACTGTCTGTGCTTCCATTGGGGGTCCCTTTTCTGTCAAAATTCATGCTTCTTTCTTTCTTTTGAATATTACAAGTGCTACTGCTATTTGGGCTTATTCCTGCAGCAGTGACGCTATTTTCTATATCAAAATTAGGGCTTGCAACCAAGAGAAAATATTTCTCATAAATGTTTGCATAGTCTTCTAACATTTCTTACCTGAAATTGGGAAGTTGTTAGTATTACATGCTTGAAACAAAGCCACTCTGTTTCTGAACTTGTTAAAGCTGAATAAGAGGGAAATATAAATTACCAGTTGTTGTCAAGGTGAAGTATTGAGTTAATGCTGGGTCTTTATAATGAGTTTTCTGTTCCCAACAGAATGTTTAATTGGCCAGTTCTGTTAAAAGTGTTACAGAAGATGGTGTCCAGGGCCACTGGAGCTAGTGACTTAATACAAAGAGCGAAAGCAGAGGGACTCTTCTTAAAATGGCCCAAGGTCCCTTGAACATCTTTTGTCAGTGATTTGGAGGCTGACATCAAGCATGCTTCATCAAACTTGCAGATAACCTAGATCTAGCTAGGATAACTTAACACCCGAAGGACAAAATCAGGATCGCAGAAGCTCTCACCAGGCTAGAGAGATGTACTGACAACAGAGATGGGGTTTAGAAAGGGAAAATGTAGAAAGTCACTTCCCTTATTGCAAAGAGGAGAAGTGGCTCAATGGCAGTGGTATGACGAAGACGTGTGGGATTCCAGGCTCCAGGAATCCTGGGATGGGCCATCCCTCAGCTCAGGATGTTGACAGAGCAAGAGGTCAAGGGAAGTAGTCAGTCGAATTGGGGCTGCAGTACTGGGAGTCCCTGGTGTAGACGAGTGCTGATAAACTCGACAGTGGTTAGAACACCTGCCTTCATGGCGAAGGTCTGAGAGCCTTCTAGTGGGAGAGGGGGAGGGGAGTAAAGCATGTTTTGCCTAGAGAAGCAAAAACATAGAACTTGACAGGTCTTTTTAAATAGCTTTCTTGTGTAAGAACGGGGATTTTTCACTGTTTCTTCACAGGGAAGAGCTAAGATGGATAGGTATACATTTCAGGAAGCTGCATTTGGGCCTTTTTAAAGAAATCGTTTACAATCAGAGGGATGTTTTCTAGATTCTGGGTGCCCACCTGTTTAGAGGGCTTCCCAGATTCTGCCTGCCAATACAAGGGAGGCCGGAGGTGTGGGTTCTATCCGTGGGTTGGGAAGATCCCCTGGAGATGGAAGTGGCAACCCACTCCAATGTTCTTGTCTGGAGAATCCCATGGACAGAGGAGCCTGATGGGCTACAGTCTATAGGGTCGCAAAGAGTCAGACAGGACTGAACACACATGCACCTGTTTGGAAGCTGTCTGTCTAGAAGATTGTAGAATTGATGTAAGCAAGTGGATGGAAATTGGACTAGGGGACGCTATGTCTGAGTTTGTACAACTACTTTATTATTATTATTTTATTTATCTTCTTGCTGCCAAGGCATACGGTACAGCCACAGTGAAATTATATTCTTACACTTGTGTTTTCTTGACCAGACCCTCAATTCTCATCATTGGCAAGTGATTATAATTAATCTTTTAAATTGGTATAATTAATAACATTCTATGATAATGGGCAGTAGAATTTTCATGATAATTAAGATGATTGATATAATCCTTCACTTTGGCAATGTGAAACACTGGGGGAAAGACTTGATGCTGTAATAATTCAGGGTAACAGGAGACATCTGAGAGGATATGGGTGGAACTTTTTGAATCATCAGTGTGTCCCCAGATGCTGAAACAGCGGACCTGCTTTGCATATACTGCATTTTCTTTTATTCTTTGTTTCTTTATTTAAGTAGCTTCATTTTTAGCTTCAACATCCAGCAGATGTTACCCCATGTTTAATTTTGAATTTATCCTTGCCTTTAAAAATTGTGTGGACTGTAAGCAAATTTATAATCTCTTTTAATTTTGAGACCTCAGATCTCCAAAGTGTTTTGTTTTTGTGTTAGATTTAGAATAATCCTTAGAAAAATATTTTTCAAGCAAGGTCTACAATCTCTACTGTTTTGTCCCTGACCAGCATGCCAGTGTTATTGTGGAAGTATTTCTCTTTTCATTTTTTGGACAAATTATAATTTTTTTGTTTTGAAGATATGCTGAACACCTGGGATGGTTCTATTAAAGTTTTGAACACAAGGTCAATTATGCCAACTTCATATGAATCTGGAAAATATGAACTATAAATTTGCTTCATTTTTACTTTCAACTGGGCTGCCCCCATGCTTTGTGGGTAAAGAATCCACCTGCAATGCAGGAGACACAGGAGACATGGGTTCAGTCCCTGGGTCTGGAAGATCCCCTGGAGGAGGAAATGGCAGCTCAGTCCAGTATTTTGGCCTGGAGAATCCCATGGCTAGGGGAGCCTGGTGGGCTTCAGTCCAAATGGTCACAAAAAGTCAGACACAACCGAGTGGCTATTATAAAGATGTCAGAGTCTTTCAGGGAAACAATATAATTTAGAATTATTGACAAGGTATGACTAGTACTCAGATAACACTTACTTAGGATGCAATGGGGTCAGGGTCAAATTGAGTTGAGCATCAACCATGGGTTTACCATCCCCTGCAGTCATTGTAGCTTATCCCAAAGGTCTGGTTGTTATTAATATCACTCTCCCTTCTTTTACATTTTAGGTGGTTGCCTCTTTGATGAGCCTTACAGCACATGTGGATACAGTCAAGCTGTAGATGATGACTTCAACTGGGAGCAAGTGAACACCTTGACCAAACCAACCTCTGACCCATGGATGCCATCAGGTTTGCTTTTAGTTTTAAGTTCTCTTTTTAAAAGCAAAGGTGCAGAAGAGTCTTAATATCACAGTCAGTGTCCCTTGGGTGTTGGTTGAATGAGTGAGGATGTTGTGTTTTGAGTTTGGTGGTGAAGGCTGGTTATCTTGTGAGGATGGTTTAAGAGAACCAATGGCAGAGAGTTGACCTTTGTATCTCTACCTTTAAAGTCTAATTAACGTTTACTTCCTTTATCTTTGGATTCATCTGAGCTAGATTAATGAGCATTACCCAATGGGATCCTTTCCCAGAAAGCAGAAATTATGGGAAATAGATTGATGTCTCTTCTGGCGAATGTGTCTGGTAGTTAGAACTCTAGCTGGGGAATCCAGATACAAAGCCTCTGTCTCAAAAAGGAGACCTAGGGAGGTGTCTCACCTTGCACCTGGGGAATCTAGGAGGATGCTTGTGGTCTTGAAAGCATTTGGATGAGAAGGTCTTGCGTACATGTAGATCATTTTTCCACTGTAGAAATGCTTAGTAAGTTTTCTGATGAGTGAGGAACATTTGACCAACAAGATTCTACTTCTTTTTAAGGAAGAGCAGGAAGATTATGACTTACAGACTCTGATCAGATTGGAGGTTGATCATTTTAATAGACACTGGTTTTAGGCTGTGCGTTGCCCATCCCTTTAAAGTTTTAGATTTGCAGATTCACTTAACAAATGGGGTGATGAGTGTACCCCATTCAAGATTCAAGCTGGAAGAGATGTTACTCTGATTTGGATTTTGGATAAAGCACAATTTTTATACTTTTTAAGTGGCTATCGAGATCTAGATTGCCAGGAGAAATATCAATAACCTCAGATATGCTGATGACACCACCCTTATGGCAGAAAGTGAAGAGGAACTAAAAAGTCTCTTGATGAAAGGGAAAGAGGAGAGTCAAAAAATTGGTCAAAAGCTCAACATTCAGAAAACTAAGATCATGGCATCTGGTCCCATCACTTCATGGGAAATCGATGGGGAAACAGTGAAAACAGTGTCAGACTTTATTTTGGGGGCCTCCAAAATCACTGCAGATGGTGATTGCAGCCATGAAATTAAAAGACGCTTACTCCTTGGAAGGAAAGTTGTAACCAACCTAGATAGCATATTAAAAAGCAGGGACATTATTTGCCAACAAAGGTCCATCTAGTCAAGGCTATGATATGAGAGTTGAACTGTGAAGAAAGCTGAGCACCAAAAACTGATGCTTTTGAACTGTGGTGTTGGAGAAGACTCTTGAGAGTCCCTTGGACTGCAAGGAGATGCAACCAGTCCATCCTAAAGGAGATCAGTCCTGGGTGTTCATTGGAAGGACTGATGCTGAAGCTGAAACTCCAGTACTTTGGCCACCTGATGTGAAGAGTTGACTCATTGGAAAAGACCCTGATGCTGGGAGGGATTGGGGGCGGAGGAGAAGAGGACGACAGAGGATGAGATGGCTGGATGGCATCACTGACTGGATGGACATGAGTTTGGGTGAACTCTGGGAGTTTGTGATGGACAGGGAGGCCTGGCGTGCTGCGATTCATGGGGTCGCAAAGAGTCAGACACGACTGAGCGACTGAACTGAACTGAACTGAACTGAGGTCTTCATTCGTGTATCTAAATGTAGTGGTATTTACATTTATTAAGTAATCTTGGAAAGGTAGCTTGTGAAAATGAAGTAGGGTTTAATGTTGTCTGGTGAAGCTTTCACAATTATGATGCCCACCACGTTCTTCCCGTGTCCTTCCCCCGTTTAAGTCCTTATTACTTCAGAGAGGGGAACCTTGAGCCCTTGAGAACTGGTTTAACTGGTCCTCAAATCTGTCCTAGTTCTTGGTGACTTCCCCGCAGCTGACCGTCTCCTCTTCTCTTTTTTTCTCATGTAAGTAAGTGCTTCTGAATATTACTTGTGTTTGAGTCAGTGGTTCTTTAGTTGTTTTTCCAGTCTAATCTGGTTTCATTCTTGTCAGTGATTAAGGAGCTGGATGGGGGACATAGCAGCCTCCCGCTGAGGAGCTGACCTTTCCTAAGAGGCTTCTCACCCTGAAGGCCTTTGTTCTCACCTGCTTTTATTGAAAGAGTATGTGTGTGTGGAGTTAGGTGCTTGGCCCTCAAAAGTCAGTAAACAGGCCAGGTTGGTGGAAAGGATAGTTTGCTTTATTTCAGATGCCGCCAACTGGGAGGGGGAGGGTGGCGGACATCTGTCCAAAGACTGACTCCCCGCCCCCACGAGCAGGGGGTGAGAACTTCTATAGATGGAGTGCGGGAAGGGGTTACATGCAGAAACGGCACAGTCCTCTCTAACAGTCATCTTCGAATCGGTCATCAGCAGTCTGACCAGCATCACCATGGTTGTTTTAGGTACAGTTAATCTCAGTTCCTAGCATATTAAAAAGCAGAGACATTACTTTGCCAACAAAGGACCATCTGGTCAAGGCTGTGGTTTGTCCAGTAGTCATGTATGGATGTGAGAGTTGCACTGTGAAGAAAACTGAGAGGCGAAAAATTGATGCTTTTGAACTATGGTGTTGGAGAAGACTCTTGAGAGTCTCTTGGACTGCAAGGATATCCAACCAGTTCATCCTAAAGGAGATCAGTCCTGGGTGTTCATTGGAAGGACTGATGCTGAAGCTGAAACTCCAGCACTTTGGCCACCTCATACGAAGAGTTGACTCATTGGAAAAGACCCTGATCCTGGGAGGGATTGGGGGCAGGAGGAGAAGGGGACGACAGAGGATGAGATGGTTGGATGGCATCACCGACTCGATGGACATGGGTTTGAGTAAACTCCGGGAGTTGGTGATGGACAGGGAGGCCTGGTGTGCTGCGATTCATGGGGTCACAAAGAGTCGGACAAGATTGAGCGACTGAACTGAACTGAACTGAACTGAATTTCAGTTCCAGGGTCCATTTGTTCCCATTTCTTTGCAGTCAGTTCTCAGAATCGTGGCAGCTCAAGTCCTGGGTACAGTCTGGTCATCATGTACTTAACTTCACCTGGTGCTTTGGTATCTATAAGGCAGCTCACAGGATACGGCTCAGAGTATTATCTCTAGCCCCTGAGAAAGGACTGAAGGCCCTTGACTATGCTTAACGACTACATGATGATTAGTTAGTCTCTTCTGACTGTTTCCCTTTGTTTCAGCATCTCTCACCCCTCGGAATAAACTTATCCTTTGCCTGAAGTTTTCCACAGACAAAAGGCAGGCAGAGGACACGGTGGGGGGTAGGGCAAGGGCATAGGGTCCTGCTCTGTTTCAGTCTCTCTGGAGCCTGGGTTCAGGGAGGCTGAGAGGATACTCAAATTCAGTCTTGGGCGTTTTCTCCGCAAGAGTGCATCTGGGTTTTCTTTGTTTATTCTCTTCAAATTTGGTGAACATTTTGTCATTCTCCACAGTAGGTACTTGGTTTCATTTTTGTGGTCCTTTAACTGGAGCCTGACTTGGAAACACCGACTTTTACAAAAGAGCCTCAGTAATGCCGGATCTTCAGCAGCCGCCGCTGGTTCTATTTTTGTTGCAGGATGACCTACCTCTCTCCGTAAAGGAGGGCGAGGAATAGCTTCTTGTTACCATTCGTCCTTTTCTTCTTTGTGATGTCCTGTAAGACCATCTCAGACCAAGCTGTCCAGGCTTTAAACACAGAAAGGATGGGTTTCTAGCTGAGGACATTACAAAGATGATAACATACTCAAAGACCGGCTGTGCTCTGGAGCAATTGGTGGAGAATTGAAGCAACACAGGTGGAGTGACTTTGCAAATTTTTGGCCTTTGAAGGCCCTTCTGCCTTTGGAAGACTGAAGTGGAGGCGTTTTAAATGTTCTTCCTGAATTTATTCCACTTCTGTTGATTAACAGAAAACTTAGGGATTCATATTAAGACTTTTGCATGTGGGATCTTAACTCCCCAACCAGTGATGAAACCCACACCTTCTTCACTGGAAGGTGCAGTCCCAACCCCTGGGCCGCCACAGAAGTCTCTGTCAGTCAGCTCGGTCAGTTCAGTCGCTCAGTCGTGTCCGACTCTTTGCGATCCCATGGATCGCAGCACGCCTTGTTATTAGTTATCCATTTTATATATAGTAATGTGTGTATGTCAATTCCAATATCCAAATTTATCCCTCCCCCTCCTCCTCCTTGGTAACCATAAGTTTGTTTTCCGCATCTGTGACTGTCTTTCTGTTCTGTTAATAGGTTCACTTGTACCATGTTTTTTTGGATTCTGCATATAAGTGATATCATATCCGATCACTTTATGTATTGCAGTGCATCGTGTAATTACACATGTAGATGAAAAGGTATTGATTGAGTGTTTCATGGTGCAGAAACATCCACACAAGTTGACAATGGTTAATGTTTTCTTATATTGTTAAAGTATTTGTATTTAGACCTTAGTGCTCCAGTTTTATGAAATGAATATTTAACATGCTGCATATCTTATGTATTAGAAATGTGATCCTGTTTATTAAAAAAATCTAAAGAATACATTCACCCGTGGGGCTTCCTTGGTGGTCCAGTGGTTAAGAATGTACCTTGCAATGCAGGGGACATAGCTTCGATCCCTAGTCCAGGAAGATCCCACATGCCATAGAATAGCTAAACCTATGTGCCACAACTACTGAGCCCATGCCCTGGAGTCTGTTCTCTGCCACAAGAGAAGCCCCTGCAGTGGGAAACCCGAACTAGAGAGTCAGTCCCACTCGCTGCAACTAGAGAAAGTCTGTGCAACAACAAAGACCCCACACAGCCAAAAACAACAAATGCATACAGTTTTAAATAGAAAATAATCTCATCCATAATATTGAAAACTTAAAGACAGCTTACAACCATAGTGAATAGTGAAAGTCGCTCAGTCATGTCCAACTCTTTGTGACCCCATGGACTATACAGTCCATGGAATTCTCCAGGCCAAAATACTGGAGTGGGTAGCCTTTCCCTTCTCCAGGGGATCTTCCCAACCCAGGGGTCAAACCCAGGTCTCCCGCATTGCAGGCTGATT